TTGGCTAGCTTGAAAAAACCCTGAATTTTAGACATACACAAGATGTTTCTTTTTAATTTCTTTTTTAAAGGTAATAGTTTTGTAAAACTAAAATTATTACAATACTCAACATTTGCCAAAGGAAAAAATAATTTTTTCTCTAAAACTAATAGTAACTGGGCAGTGAAAGAAATCTTTAGTTCAATTATTGCTGAAACAACCTATATTTAGCTAACAATAAAGTAAGAAAAAAAAAGATATCAACATGCCTAAGAATTAAATCTAAACTCTGAGACAAAAGATTTACTAACCTCAGCATCATTGATGTAGTGAACTTCATCAAATATGACCCATTCCAAATCTCTGATTATATCTGACCCATTGTAAAGCATAGATCTAACAGAGACAACAATTTTATTTTTAAACATTTTTCAAATATGATAAAAAGAAAGTATAAGTATATAAATTTGCAATAATAAAATCATTATTAAAGTGTATGAAGTTATTATTTAAAACATTTGTGAAATGGTTACACAGGAGTTAAATAAAAAAAGTTAAACTTTTTCAAAAAAGTTTAATATGGCAACTTCACTGTGAACCCTTAGAATAACATAAATTTTGCAAGGTGTTAGTAGGTTTAACCCTCTCTCTCTACAGACAGGTCAAATAGTGTATGTTACGAGCTTTGAGTTATTTTCAAAATCTAATTAAACAACTTTATTATCATTGTACGTCAATAAAATTGGCATTACAAGGTAGTTTATAATCTAAATTTTAATGTTTTAATTTCTTAATCCAAAATAAATATTTAAAAATTTTTTAAATATGCTTTTTTGTGTGTCATATAGCATGTCTTCTTGTCTTATTGCTCAGTTTATATTTCATTATGCCTACCATACGAAGCCTGTACTGGTAAACAAATTGGAAACTTAAATTTTGAACATTTACACGATAGAATATAAAATAACAACCTCACATCTTTCTGATTACCGAGATATCAATATATTTTGCAAATCTACCATGGTAGCCCCACCCACTACTCTATTGAAACTTCTTGTCTACTCACAACTACTTCTTTTAAGCATACATTTATAGCCAATAGAAAGAGCACATTCAAAACTATGTACACTTGATAGTCGTTTCTAATTGAGCCGAATGAGAAATTTGTAATTTCAGTGGAAATGTTGAAGTATGTTGACTAAGTCATTGTTCTGAACAAAAATTAGATTTTTTAAAACTCACATATAGCTTGGTTAAAAAGCCAGATAAATTACAGTGGTTTTTATGTGTACCAGTAAAGAAATTTGATAATTTTTTTGGTTGTATACGATGCATCTTTGAAATCTACAAAAAATTAATGTCTCTCCCTCCTCCCCACATGAGAGAATAAATGAAACTTGGCAAGTATGATGCATGAGCATAAATCAATTTCATAACATTGTAAGTACTACAAATGTTATAATTTTTCTACACTGAAAATATATTTCTAACAGATACTTACCTCTTCTCACAATTAGAGCTATTCTCGACTTCACTGCTCTCTAGTGCACAAATTTTCACTCGTCACTAGCCTTGAAACTCCCACCTAATTCCATGTGTACACCACATGGTTCAGTTGCATATAAGAATACAAATTAGCATACAACAGTGCTCCACCAATAAGAGTGTGACAAACCCTTCTATTACAGCTGACTTCCTCTGTGCAGTTGAACCCAATCTTCACTTCAAGATTAGGCACAAAAGATGAAACTGAAAGTAGGTAGGATGGGTGGGAAGTGTGAGAGGAGTTATGTAATTTTCAGAAATATATATAGTTTTAGTGTAGGAAAGTATTAACTTCTGATACAATAATTTACTTATGCTCACAGTTACAGCTAGAATCCCACATTGAACAGATGGACCAGTGTAAAATTACACAGATAAGCACCCATTAAAAGCATCTGAAGAGCACTCATGGAGTGTGCCCTTTCTATGGAGAGGAAACACACTCATGGGAGATTACATCACTTCTGAACCAGATATATTTTTTGCCCATATGGAGCCAACAAGTGTGGTGTCACAATAAAAGGGTGGAACAAGGTAACAATTCCAAATCTCTAAGGAAGAGAATTGTGTGTAGAGTGGCTAAGGCACATTGGACAGTAAACAGGAGGTCAACTCCAGTCCAGACCATTAGCACTGGGAGGAACTTGACTGGTTCATGGTAGGAGGAGGGGTCCTCAGGTCTAGGAACCAAGGGAAGAGGAACCTCTGTTCTGAGAATTTAAACCATCATGTGTGCAAAGCCAACACAACATACAGCAAGAAACCCTGGAAATGTACATACAGATATCAGGAACTTGGAAATGCAATGTGGAGGGTCAGTTCCAGTCCAAAATCAATTGGCATCAGGAATGTAACATCCAGTCCATAGTAGGAGGAAATTCCCAACACATTCATATGCTAGGACTGATGTTGGCTAGTCCAGCTCCAACCAAAACAAGTCTCCCAGGAACTGACATCCAGGTGGTGGTAGGAGGTAGGATTCCCAGCCAGAGGGCAAATTACAAAATAGACAGAAAAATCCAGTCCAGACTTAGCAGCATTTGGAAAAAAAAACATTACACCTTATACACAGGTAGAATGCCACTGGCCTACTTTTGACTGATTGGAATTGTGCACACTCCATGATCTACCACCCCAGAACCTACAAGTTGGTAAGGACTCCTGTACTCCATTGGAAGAAGGGGTGAAGAAACACACTGGAAAGACCAGAGAAATGCATCACTGGAGAAAATGCAATGGGGAACCGTGAAACCCTATTTTGAAATGTAGACCATTCCTGAATCTGGTGTAGATTTTTAGATATTAATATATCTGAACAGACATCACTCACCACAGAGCAGAATCCATAACATGTAAAGTAGGCCCTGAAAATATGAAAGAAATATAATTTACTCACTCAGATTTGTACCAACGTATAGAGAATGGCTACAGGAAGAAGACAATATCAGACTGAGCAGGAAACCACCAGATGGAACAGGTAGCAAGGCACAAAGGTGTGCCAGCAGTGCATTAGGACATGGCCCAGAGGGATAAGAGCCTCTAGATATGTTCAAGTCCCCAAAAGAGACAGAACGAGAGCTCATAGAGAGCAAAGGTGCTGAAAGCACCCTCTAAACTAAAAACTCCATGGCTCACAGACAAAGAAGCTGGGCTTGACTGAGATGGGATTAAAAAAACACCCTAGAAGAACAGATATTTGGTGGGGTGGATAACAGACTTCTCCATCTTGATAGTCCAACCCACCTGAGCAGCTTCTCTTATGAGAAAGTGGAAGTCTCTGCAAAGGATGAAGCCAGAAGAAGCCAGTCATCCATATAAAGATGGATATTGAGCCCAAGAAATTGTAAGAGTCGGGCAAATGACTGGACAAATCGACAGAAAACGTAGGGTGTCAATGCCAGCCTGAAAGGAAGGGTTTGGAACTTACATGCATGATCTTCATGGACAAAATGTAGATAATGACATGAAATCCAAGCAATCGGGACGTGAAGATAAGCATTGGACCCAATGAATCTCATCAGGATTCCATGGTGACCCGAGGCACATCGAGGAAGCGATTCAGATGAAAGAGATTGAAAACAGGACAACAATACCCGATATTTTTGGGGATTAAAAAAGTCAGAAATAGAATCCTGGAAGCACAGGATATACCTGTTGGATGGTACCCTAGATGAACAGGTCTTGAACTGCTTCTGTGAGATGCTGGAGGGAAAAGGGATCTTGATGGGGTGTGGGAGAAACTGGGACAGGGGATAAAGGCAGGAAGTGTGAGGAAAAGGAGGGAAAGTCCTTCTCACAAAACTCAATTGACCCAAGGGTTTGCTGAATGATAATATTCAAGTGCATGCACCTCTGCAGTACATGGGGGATGAAGCATACTAATCCCTGTACATGTTCAGTATTTTTTTGTATTTGTATTTTCAGTATTTTGTATTTTGACATCACAAAATTTGAATTATATTCTACAATTTGATACCAAATTATTGACATAGATTCATAAACTAGTAGTTAAATAAAATTTTGGATGCAAGTCAACAAATGCAATGACATGGCTTTTGACATGCGACCTGCTGCTTGTTGAAACTTGCAAGTGTTTACTTTTTTTTTGTTCAACTCTGTTTAAATATGGGTTTGGTCAATTTGACTGACCACATGACCTCTTTGTACTTGTTTAAAGTCCTTACAGATTTGATACTACTAATTTTGAATATAGTGTGTATATCTTCATGAAATTGGGCAGTCTTTCAGTAAACATTATATATGTTTTTCATTACAAAAAATATGATTTCTTAGTAAGTATTTTTAATAAACTAAAAATAGATTTGTCCTTGAATATAGAGTATTTGTTTTTAATAGTCCATGTGTAAAGTGATTTTCATGTTGAGATTAAAAATACTTTTCTTCATCACAAAATTCGCAAATTTCATTTGTTAATCTCTAAAACCTAATACATTTCAGATGTTTGTTTTCAGAAAAACTATTTTATTTGCAATTTTCTCTACTCTAACTCTATAAGGTTGGTCAATTTGACTAACCTCGTATCACACACACAAAAATTGAAATGAATCTAAATTACCCTCTTTTTCTTTCTAGAATGACTTCAAATGTAGTGTGAAACTACATTCGTTTAGCCTAAGTAGTTTTAAACTTGTAATGGTATACATCTACTTATAATTATATTTTATTGCCCTTTGAACCATGTCTAACTACTATTTATGCCATTATAAGTTGCAAATCACTTGGGGAACATGCAGCTCACATTATGCTATTGAATTACATTACCCACAAGCTACTCCAAGTTGTTTGCATTCATGTCTCGTGATATATTATTATTATTGTTTATTTTACCTAATATAACCTTAACTAACCTAGAGATCCCTATTTTTACATTTTAGTTATTTTTATAATAATAAATAAAAAATTAACATGAAAAACAAGAAATAAAGTATTTACCCAATCTTCTTCTTTCTTGCTGTCAATTATTAATGACACTTAACCCTACTTTTTCTTATACTAATGGTAGTAATGCACAAAATTTCTTTGAAATTAAATAGTGCACCAAAGAACATAAACTAATAACATCCAAAAAAGTAGGCAATTTCTAACTATGCAACAAAAACCGTTACAAGTTCATCCAAGCTAGTCGTCAACTTTCCCATGGGAGTAAACCGTGTATTATAAGTGAAATTGACGTTTATCTGTTTAGATTGCAATGTTATAAGACACGTCATTTGATAGATGAAAAACTTCGTTTTCTATTGGTTATAGGTAATATATAATTCAATGCAAGAGAACTATTAAGAAATCCTGAAAGAGAAGATGTGACAGGAAGGGTCTGGATTTCTATTTGATAGCTCTGTAACCAAACAAAATTGAAGGCTATAGAAATAAGGGTTTGTCTGAGCAATGACAATTTTATAGTGAGTAATTTACATTGAATTTTATACTTTTTGGAGGCGTGATGGATAAAATAGAGAAGATACCAAGAGAAAATGTGTCATGTGTTTCACACTAGGGGAAATTCTGAATTTTTAAAATATTGCCTTATAGAATTAAGAACTTAAAACTTATATATTATTAAAATATAGATTATTAGCTTAGATCTTATGCTATACCAGTTGGTATAACATAAATGAAGAATAGTTTAATAGAAGTTTTAATGTAAGACATAAAAACTTTATCATGCACAGTAAAAGATACCCGTGGCAATAAAGTTAAGTACTATATTGAACATTTAAAGCCTCAACCCTATTTATCATGATTAGGCAAGTTAGGTTTCTCTTTATGTGTATATATATATATATATATATATATATAATATTAATTAATAGTAGTAGAACTAAGTAGACACAATAAATTAAAAATAATACTACTACTAATTATGTAGTACTACTAATTAACGAAC